AGAAAACCGTGGCATTGAACCCTTTGGTACAGGGGGTGACACACACACACACTGCTGAGCAAACTTGAGCGCACTACAAATTACAAATTACCACGCCTTCAATTATTGCCAGTTACTTTCTTGTGGAGGTTGCTTGATAGGCTCCCTTTGCAATAGACTTCACTCTCTCTCTCTCTCTCAAAGAGACGCCCAACTGCAAACGTCTTCACTCTCAAGGCCGGAGACCAAGGGGGCAGTGCTACGGAACCGGAGACGAGAAGCAGCGAAAATGCAAGTCCTTCAAACCGTAGCAGGGATAAGACGAAAAGGCCTGTGCAGGCATCAAAAGGCGGAAGAATAAGCTAGCAGCTAGGCAGAACGCAACCAAATGCGGGGCTCACTTAACTTAGGTGATCAGGAGGCGAAGGCAACCCAACCAGGCACCATACTCAAGTACGTCGGTCTTGTGCCGCCGCAGCCGCGGCCCCTGCCTGCTGCAGTCCGTGCAGCGAGATGGCAGCCCGCTCAATGGGTCCCACCAGGGAAGGGCCAAACGCCTGGCCCTGCCAGTCGTCCCTGGTTTGCATGGTGGTCAGCCAAACAAAGTGAGAATCATCGATCAACAGGTCTTCGAGCATGGGCCATTGAAATCCGCACCAATGGATATGAGGACACAACGCCATCAGGGCACCGATCACTGTCTCCTGTGAAAACCTGATGGGCACCGCCCGGACTGGGCGCAGGCAGTGGTAGAGCGGGCGGACACGTCGGTCCGACTGTGAGAGGTCACTCTAAAGACCTTTCGCTCTTTCTAGTCCTTCATCTGTCTGTTTTTTCATGTTTGCATTGTTTAGCCAAATCTCCCCGATCCTTGACACACACACACACACACACCCAGGAACGTCTTTGGCCCAGCAGCTTTGATCTGCACTTTGGCCAAGATCTTCAAGCGAGTACCTGTTTGTCTGAGCTTTGAGACCAGCATACGCTGGCTATGACCGGCTCTGTCATTTTTGATGGCTGGCTGTCTTCAACTGACTATGCAAACACAGGACACACACACACATACACTCCTTGGCGCACAAACTCCCTCGGCCCACGCATGCACCAAGCCAGCGTTCATCTTTCGAACGCCTGACCATTTCTTATTCAGCAGGCTCAGACTTACTAGTAGCTAGAAGCTACTAGTAACAAGGGCATCACTACAAGTAACAAGTGCATTACTAGTAGTAGCAGGAAGCTCTTTCGCCAAATTCCAACCAGGATCAACCAAGAATGTCTCCTAGTATGTCGCCTCGGGCCGGTGAGCTCGATGAGCCTCGCCATGGGCTTCGGGATCTCCACCAAATTAAAACCACGTAGGACGCCCTGCAGGCTCGGCACTTTTTTAAAATCCGCACTGTATGAACATTGAAATGCTGTATGCTAATATATGATAATGATATCTGATATCTCTCTATCAACTCCTTCAAGGTCATAGGGTTGCCGCGGTTGCCCAAAGCAAAAGCGCGAGACTTCAACATGTTACGACAAAAAAGCTGAAGCAAGTCCTTCAAACCGGTGGCTGACTTGTCATAGCAAAACAGACTCGGTATGAGGTATGTATTATATATCTGTCTATGTATCTACCTATTATGCCGTGTGAATTGTTTCACAGCCTTGGAGATGCCCAGGCCTCGCTTGTGGCCCACGTGAAGAGCCAAGGGACGCCAGGCCACCGCAACAAGGAATCCAGGCGCCCGGATATGTCTAAGTCACGGCGCGGCAGCAGCTCCTTGGAATTATGTTGAGCACAGAAAACTACCAAATTAAGTTAGAGATATACTGTATATATACAGTAAAATATATTAATATATATACATGTTGTTTATATATTAATATATATACATGTTGTTTATAAATGTATGTGGATAAACCAGTCGAAAATAGCAATGATGGATCGCTGGGGCACAAGTCTTCCCAAGTGCCAAAAATACCAGGGCAGTTGACAACCGACTAATGCTGTTGCAGCAATGGCTCGCAAGAGTTGTCAGCGCAGGTTTGCTGCAGCTGGACAACATGATCCTTGTCATCATCAAAGGCACCACTGCTGCGCAAAGCCCAAAACTCCTCTGCCAAGGGGCAATGCAGGGCATACGACATTCACAAAGATGTTTACAGTTTACAATTGTTTTTAAAGTAAACACGTGCTCCTTGAATTATTGGTTGGCGCACCCTGTACATTTCAACTATATCGTTGCCTCCCCATGAATTTGTATGCTGCGCCACGGGCCACCCTTCGGCTGCCAGAGTCGTGCTGGCTTGCTGCCACCCAAAGGACAGGAAAGCAATTCCAAGCCTTGAAAGCTGCAGCGAACTCTGGAGAACTCTCTCAGCACCTTTCAAAATCAGTGTGTCATGCTTTCTCTCATGCACTCTTGCGATGGTGCAACCGAAGGGCCACTGGCAGCTAAAAGCCAAAGGGTGCAACTCCCTGTCGAAGCCTCCTGCCAGGTTTTTAATCCAACTCGCAGTAGCTAGTAGTAATGATTCCTTGCTGTGTGTCATGTTGCAAATGCAAACGGCAACAAACTGTGGGATTTGCACAACATGCCCTGGCCATTTAAGCTCTTAGAAATGGAATCCTAAAACATCAATAAAGAAGGCAATTGCACACCGAGCAAGTAATGGCATTTGTTCGATTTCCACTCCTCACAGTCAACTGTGGCGCTTTGGAGGCCTTGGGCCTGGAAGTCCTCAGATCGGGCCGAGGAAGCCCCATGTAGCAACGGGAGGGGGGAAGTCAAAACCATCTTCAACAACCTTCAGCGTTAAAAGATCTCCGCATACATCTCAAGTCATCTATCTGAATTACTTTGTCTGGGTCATTCAAGATAGCCAGGAGCTTGCTCTTGCAGGTGCAGCATTGCAAACAAAAATCGAGACGTTGCACATGCTAAATACAACCAGCAGAATTACTGCAAACACAACCGACGGAAAAGCCAAGATGTTTTGCAGTGCATGTCTTGCAGGAAATCATGCGCATACTGTAGCAGTAGTACTGTATATGTCCTGCCTTCCATCAAAGGCACTACATATGGTACGTTTTGTTCTATACTCCAATTCTGCATATACTCGCACATAAATCAAGCAGGCACGAAATGGCACGAAGGTTCACCGTCCGAACAAAGTCTCAGCACAATGCAGTGTCCTGCAGTTGGCCGAAGAGGCAGCTGTCCACCTGAGCCTGTGTCGCCATACGGACTTAAAATGAGATAGATCTGCACGTGCTCTCCGTCCAACC